CCCCAAAACCCCAAAACCCCAAAACCCCAAAACCCCAAAACCCCAAAACCCCAAAACCCCGAATAGTTTATAAATAATTGAAATCTAGATTAATTAGAAGAAAATGGAACAAGAAAGCAAGGAAGAAAAGAAAGAGTACTCTGAAAAGATGACTAAGATGCATAAGGAGATTAATAATATTAATAAGAAGTTAAGGCAGGTAGGTTAAGCAGTGAAAGGGAATTTTTAGACCCTAATGTCTATAATTCATATTAAATTACTCTTTAGGTTTTCTCTACAATTAACTGAGAAGTTTCAAATCTCAAAATAAACGTGAGATTAATGGTCCAGAAGGTCATAGAGATTTTACATAATGAAACAGGAGTTAAGCTAGTTGCTAGTTTTCGAGAGTAAGTTTTTTCAAATTCACATTTTTACTAATTTATAGGATTCTTGATAGATTTACAAAGGATGTTCCAGCTGGAATAATTCCATCTCAGAGGAATAACCCTGAAAGAAGTACTGAAAAGTCACTTGAAATAGCAAGACTGCTGTGAATCATCAGCAAGAAATACTTTGAAATAGTATCGTTTAAGATCAGAGGAAGGAATATACATTTCTCAGGAGAGAAAGAAGAGCAGCTTCCTTCTTGCAGACAGAACATTAATCAAAACCTTGATCTTTGATCCAACAGAGAGGGACCTGATATGATCTCCTTCTTCAAGAAAAAGTGTCTGAAATCCAAGATCCTTGCCGAAGAGATAGAGCTTCTGAAAAAGAACGAAGAGCGGGAGAAGGCAACAGAAATTGTAAAATCAAGATACTCTCCAAAGCCTGATCATCCCTCTGGTGATGATTTAGTCGAGAATACAAAACAAAATTACGATAGTATTGACATTTTTACTGATGAAGAGATCAATTTGGATAAGCTTGGAACGATGTTTTTAAAAATTCACAAGAACAGTGAATTGAAGTACTCCGTACTTTTTGACGAGTTTGGAGAAGGCAACTGAATAGTTATTGAATTTTCCAAATAAAATGACCATCTTTATTCGCGTAAATGCAACCCATACCACACCTCTAGCTTGTTGCTTCTGTGCTTATAGGGAGAAGAACAAGAGAGGTAGGACCTTGCAGCCTGAATCAAAGTCTAGTGTGAAGTACTTTAGGTCAGTTCAGGAGCTAGGGATTGAGGTTATGAACCATTTTGTAAGTACACAGAAATACCCGATCTTGTATTTTATTGAATGGTGTTGGGGATTTTGCAAATTTTTAACTCTGAAATGCAATGATAACGAAAGCTGGATGTACTTTAATGCCAAATATGGATTCCTCCCACCTGATGCAATATCATCAAGCATCCCAGATGAGAAATTAGGTGCTAAAGTTGTTCATAAAAGCTGTAAAGCTAATTATAATTGGTAACAGAATATAAGAAACAATGAATATAATCTTTGATCATTTTAATTTTTCTCAATAATTATATTTTTATAAGGGGTTTTGGGGTTTTGGGGTTTTGGGGGTTTGGGGTTTTGGGGTTTTGGGG